TCTGAGAATTTATTAGCAATTGGCTAATATTAGACATCATTTAGTCGCCAGAGTGAAGACTTAGTCGCATATGCGAGTGATTTACTCGCAATGTAGAGGGTTGTTATCGTATTTGTACGATAATTTTGACCTCTGTACGATCAATAACGAAAAAATCCCATAATGTACGATAATTTCGAAATTTCAGAAAATGTTTTTTCCAAAGTCAACCTCATCAAAACAAAGCCATGAAATCGTCTCCTTCATAAAATCATCTGCGATTTTTTTGCGTAACTTGTCAGTAAACTGAGTGCTTTTAACTGAGTCTTTGTCAACTCAACCACGTTGAGCTCGAGCAAACTGCCAAGAACAGTCTGACCGCTTGAGCCGCATGCACAGTCAGGACATTTCACCCTGAACGCACTGCATCTGCAAACACTGCAACAGTAAACGGTGTTTTTTAAATAATGCGACGGCGATAAACAGTTATTTGGGTTTTTATATGAAATGCATTTAAGACAGATAATGGTTGGCACTTGACTGTAAGCGGTCAACCCAAAAATATAATACATTTTACCATACATCTAGATTTAATGTCATTTGGTTTTGCCGGTTCGCTGCATCGGTGTACTCATTGAGCAGCCCCCCTTCCCTTGTGTTAGCTTGCTAACTAACATGCGCCCACTCTCATTGTGCATCAAAACGAAACGAAATACGCAGACAAAACGTGGTTTGCAACGAGGAAAATATTACCTGTAGAAAATGTCTTTGTTGCGCCATTGCTGATAAAATTGTCCACTTTTCCGTACTGTAAACCGGCTCTCGTCCTTGAAACCGCCCACAATCTAACCAGCACTGCACTTTCCAGACACGGCACAGAGCAGGAAGATGTATGACAGTTAAACTGAGTTTATTCCGCCTGCCCTACTCTCGCCCTACGCTGTCATGGCAGTGGTGTAATTCTGGGTAGAGCCACTAAGGGTCGTAGTTAGGTAGGCCTATGTGTGAAAAAGTGAGACCCAGCTATTGTGACCTGTGATACTATTTTTTTTAGAGCTGCTTGAGCGGCTCAGTCTGTATGGCCAGGATGTGGTTAACATTACTTGAAGAGACGTTTACGTTTTGTTTTACAGCATAAACTGAGTCATACTTTAAACGTGAATTGTGAGGCTGCTTTATGTAAATTGTTAACAAGTACAGCGATTTCTTAGCACCTTCATGTTAAAAAAAATCACGTTTGTATGGAAGCTTTTTCCGCCACACCCTTACGAAAATTAACCACGGTTTTATTATAATGAAAATGTACTGTTTTTTTTATTTTTTTTTCTGAGTATTGATTACCATTTATATAACCACAGTTTTACTACAAATACCAAGGTTAAACATGGTTAGTGTAGCAAAACCATGGTTAATCAGTAGATGGTCTCTCGACGTTGCGACGGACGCTTTGGGGAAACACCTTTCCACTCAAATACTGTAGGTTGATTTCTGCACTCTGTAGCCTCTGCGCAGTAGGCTATGCGTCGGTTTTCATTTATACTTATGCGTCGACGTGCAATTACACATGCAGACTGCTAGTCTACAGTGTCCATGGGCATGTTGCTGGTGGTGAGTATCAAGGCAAAAGCCGAAGAAGAAGCAGCTTGTAGGAGAAACATCAGCCATGACGGCGACAAATAAATATCCAAGAACAGATCATTTATTTAAAACTACGAAAAAGTAACAGAACAGGAGAAGATGGCACTCTTTCGATCTCCACAAGGACTTGTACCATGCTTTTCCCGCCACACCCTTACGAAAATTAAATAGATATCATTTAGGTTTAGGTTCTGATCTGCGTGGGACCCATCGGGATCCCTGGCAGACTCAAGCATTGCGTCTTCTGCCTGGCCACGCCCATGAAGAATCCGCCACTGAGGGCCCTAACTGCCTGCATTGCCATGCTGAAAAAAAAAAGTAAGGGTCACCCCCTCTCCCAACTCCTGTCTAGAATGTGCAGCTTATGAGTACTTGTGTACAGTGGCTGTACCATGCATTGCATTTGCTGCTGAGTGTTGCTGCGCTTATATGTCGTCTCCGCTCATGCCGAGCGCCCTTCGCAGTAACACGGCATTACACGTTCCCCAAAGCCATAGGCGGAGGGTGAACCAATTCCAGGGTAAGGCTAAAAGCAGCCAAATGTATTAAACATCATAACCCCGTCTTTTTAGGCAAGAACCAGACAGGGGTGTCATGTAGGCTAAAAAAATGTTTAATGGGACTGAATTTGTATTTAACGTGATTACAATTTAATAAAAACGTTAGAAATTGATAATTATATAACGTTTCCTTTCCACAGTTATTCAAACAGCGAATAAATTATATATAGAAAGTGACATTATCACTAACTTTAATCTATCGCGAGTTTAAGCACTCTCAAAAAAACAAAACTATCTTATAAACCACTGAAGCTGTATACACTGTGAAATTAATCTCTTCCTTACATTGTACATACAGCTGCGCTTTGTTGTTTATGATGAGAGAATTCGCAAGAGTCCGGAATGCGCACGCAACAAAACTGATGAGTTTCAGCAATGACTCATCTGAACGCCTCTGATTGGCCATTGCATTCCTAAACTCAACAGAATTGTGTGTGATTGGTTAAAATGCGCAACACTGTAAAAACGCCTAAAATGAAATACGGTGCAACATGAGCAGATCAAATTTAATGCCGCAATGGACACTGTCTATTCATATTCACTTTGTTAGCAACAGACGTAATAGATTTAATTGGTCTGTGCAGGGGCATTTTTGCCCCAAGTCCCCAGAAAACAGTGTAAAGAAATAGTCTTTGAGAGAAGCAGTCTTTATCAGCTGAAGTTAAAAGCAGCTCTTAAGTGTATTTACTTGTCTCATTAGTGTTTAGTGCAGTTGTCCTTGCTAGGAAACGCTTGTTTTGTTTATTGTGTGGAGACGTGCTGATATCGCATTTGGTCTCGTTCTGTATCGGTATCTTGTCAGTGTCTGCGCTTGCTTGGCCATTTGTTACGGAGAAAATAAGGAAAGTGTGTCCAGCTGAATTAATTTAGTATTTTGTTAGACGGGTATAAAAAAGTTTAGTTTACAGCGACAGCGGTCGCGGCAGCCGTCGCATGAAGGCCTCCTCGCGTGCAGACCGAAGAGTGTAAAGACCATCGACTCTACCTGCCACTTCACCGGGCAGGGACACCGGCAAAGGATAAGTATCGCTTTTTTTCTAATTGAATCCTTGTCCACCGTGCATTGTGTTGTGGGCAATATTAGCCGTTAGAGTGCATCGATCTTCACTTCGAATTCTAACCGGAGTAGACCATCCGGGAATCGTTGCCATACTTTTTTAAACATACTATGATTTGGGACATACTAATTCTATTTTCAAATACTTAGTAGGGATGCGCCGATCCGATATTCATATATTTTCTCAGGTATTGGTCAGAGAGGGCCGATCCAAATCCGAGATTGATTTTTTTTTTTTCTCGATTGTGCTAATTATTCTGTGTTACTTCTGAAGCCATACGATAGCTTAATGTGAGCTACATATGAATA